CGGCGTGGTCAGCGACTACAAGACGGGCAAGCCGATCCCCAACGCGATCGTGGACATCTGGCAGGCGTCGGCCAACGGCAAGTACGACTTCCAGGACGACGCGCAGTCGGTCAACAACCTGCGAGGCAAGTTCCGCACCAACGACAAGGGCGAGTACTACTACTACTGCTACCACCCGACGGCGTACTCACTGCCGACCGACGGGCCCGCGGGCGTTCTGTTGAAGCTCATGGACCGCCACCCCATGCGGCCCGCGCACATCCACCTCATGATCAGCGCCGACGGCTACAAGTCGCTGACCACACAGCTGTACCCGCGCGACGACCCCTACGTGACCAGCGACTCGGTCTGCGCCGTCAAGGATGACCTGCTGCTCGACTTCAAGCCGTCCGACGACCCCAAGGCCGAGCTGGATCTGGAGTACAACGTTACGCTGGCGCCGTTGAAGCCTGGCCAGAAGGCTGGCTGGGTTCACACTGTGTTTTAAAGCATCGGGCATGTAGGGTATCATTTGAGCGACGATTTTCTGGACGAGGGGGGGTTCTGGCGTTGTTGTTCTTTGTCTCATAAATGCATGATCATGACAGGGATGTGAGCGGGTTTTCTTTTTGAAAAAGGGGCCAAAGTGTTCTCGACGATGCCTTGACTTGGAGTCTCAGTGCTCCATCCACTTACCCACCCTTGTAATGCGGTAGCCGTATTGAATATGGTAAAAAATGCAGTAGTAGTCACACACGAATAACTATCACCATGACTGAACGGGCACTTGTCCAAGGTCATCTTATGGCTCTCCCTCCTTTTCCGTATGCAGGGTATATCTTTTGCTCTTTGACGGGCTGTCCTCTCAATATCTGATGAGCGCGCCGATGCCGGCTTCGGCTTGTGCGGCGCGGGCTGCGGTAGATATAAGAAGCAGGGATGTCATCTCCATGAGATGTCTGTGCTTGAATTCTTCCAACCCCGCAAAAAACCAGAAGGTCCATCAAAAGCCCTTGATTTATCTTAATTCCTACTTCTCTCAAAAGTTTGTCTGTTCAACCAACCATCAAGGCTTTTCGAGTACTCTTCTTCGATCTCTGATCCCACTGTCCCTACTTGGGTTCCTTGTCCAACAGACCATTGTTGCTCTCTACGCATTGACAAAATCCAGTCAGCCCCGCCAGACTAGTCTACCCGTCAATCAATCAATCAACTAATCAAACCCGTTCATCCCCCAGTCTCTGTCCCTGTCAGTCTCTGTGTCTACGCCATGCGCCTCCCCTACGCTCCATCAACCCCGCCACCCGACGCCCCGCCATCCGTGGGCGAGATCTACGCGCGGATCGCGGCGCGCCGGCGCCCTCGGCCCCTGATCCCCCTGGACCTGACGCTGCTGCACTCGCCGCCCGTGGCGGACGGGTACAATGCGTTCGTGGGGGCGCTGCGCACCGCGACGATCGTGCCGCAGAGCCTGCTCGAGCTGGCCGTCTCGCGCGTCGCCATCCTCACCGGCGCCGTGTACGAGTGGAACATCCACGCCGCGCTGGCGCTCAAGGCGGGGTTGTCGGCCGCGGCGTTGGAGGTGGCGTGGGGGACGGGGAAGGGAGAGGTTGGTGGCAATTCCTCATCGTCAGGGTCAGTCTCCCCACTGAGTCTGAGCGACAAAGAAATCGCCGTGCTGCGGTACACGGACGAAGCCACCGTCGACGTCAAGGTCCAGGACGCCACTTTTGACGCCCTCAAGCGCCTCTTCAACGATCGCGAGATCCTCGAGCTCGCCACCGTCGTCGCCGGGTATAACGCCGTCAGTCGGATTCTGGTGCCACTCGACGTGGGCGAGAACAACGACAAGCCGATGAAGACGGTGGCCGAGTTGGTTGCCGCGGCGGGTGTTTGAATTACTTTTGCCTTTAAGGAAGAGGAGTGGTAAGGGGGAGGGTAGGGGGAGGGAGGAGGGGAAGGCAGTCATGTGTATCTATAGAGAAGTCTCTTGTGCAGGATTGAATGACTCCATGATCAAACAATTCAACAATCGTACATGAGCACTTGAGACAAGCAAGAGGAGACCCATGAAAAAGACCAGTTCTAAAAAGGACACAGACTGGTAAAGCTGATAGAAGCAGCTTCGTTGGCCCCCTTTCCAAGTCTCCTGTGTAACCTTCTGCACGGGGGACTTTGTCCACTTTATCGCGTTCAGGTGCCGGTTGTCAATTGTTCAGTGTCAGCGTCGATGTCATGGATTATGCACCGAATGGTATCTAGTGTTGTGCAGTAGCATACCTCCTACCCTGTGCATGCACGGTAATGGTAATCTATATTTCCATATTGTGATGCACCTGCGCCAAAGGCCCTGGAAAGACGCGTACCTACAGTGGCACAGGAATGCAACAAAGCCCCACCTGGGGAATACATACGACGCGAAGCACCGGTACGAAGGACCCGCGAAGGACGTGGGTACATGCATACATGGGTCGTCCGTATCTCGTCAAGCCAGCCCGACTGAATGATTATTCACCCAAAAGCGCCCCGACATCCCTCAGAGGGAGATACAATATGAGGTATATACCTCGCGAGCTTGTATCAAGCAGCGATCGATCGGCGCGAGACAGGTCCGAACTCCCTCCTTTTTCACTCGGTACATTTGTCAGATGAGATCTTCCCCCCTTGTGCCCCTGATGCCCCGGAATCTGGCTTCGGCGGTGCGTGGTTCCGAAAACGCGCAAGAACAAGAGACTTGCGGAGTGTGGAGATGCCGATGCGCCCTAACGCCACACGCCACCCGCCACACCATAGGGTTGGCATGTATCGGACGATATTCGAATACTTAGTTGGTCACACAAGACCTTTCTGGTATCTCCTCAAGCCTACTCTCTAGAACCTCTCGTAAGCTGGCCAGAAACTTGAAAGACTGATGACAGGCAGTCAAGCATCTACGTACAATGACATACTTGGTGCAAATGAAGAGACTCAGGCGGCAGCGAGCGGTACATACGCACCACGCATCTTCGGGTCCAGGTACTTCCGAACACGGTGGACAGAGGCTCGCCAATTACCAATACCTCGTATTAGGTACTTGTCCATACCTGCAGGTGGTCGATAGGTGATGTATGGATAGATCTGTCATCTGTCATCTGCTCTGCTCTGGGCCATTGTCTTTCCTTGTTCGCAGTGTCCTTTATAACAGACCCTTCATCCCGCGGGATGTACACAGAGAACAGCCTCATCCTTCATACTTCACAAAGATCTCAGGTACCCAGAGAGTACAGTACATTCTCAACCACCTCTACCTCACCCACACCTCCAACTCACTCAGAACAATCGCGCCATGTCCAGAGCAGTCCTCATCACCGGCGCCACCGGCAAACAGGGCGGCTCGGTCGTCAACGCCCTGCTGCGCGCCAATGCCGACTTCCAGATCCTCGCCCTGACCCGCGACGCCGCCGGCGCCTCCGCACAGCGACTTCTACAGAAGTCCCCGAAGATCAAGCTGGTCGTCGGCAACATGGACGCCGCCGAAGACATTTTCGCAAAGGCACAGGAGGCGTCGAGTCTGCCAATATGGGGCGTCTTTAGCGTCCAGGTACGTGAACTATTATCTCTTGCCATTTTTCAAGAAATAAACAAGAAAAAAAGTCTTGGAACAACGGAGCTGACTCGTGTGGAATGGTGGTTGTTTTCGTCACAGACCGCGATCGGAAACGGCGCCAGTGCACAGTCTGAAGAGCGCCAGGGCAAGGCGCTCATCGACGCGGCCCTCAAATTCGGCGTCAAGCACTTTGTCTACTCGTCCGTCGACCGCGGCGGGCCTGCTCGATCGGACAAGGATCCCACCACCGTCCCCCACTTCGTGAGCAAGTACAACATCGAAAAACACCTTTTCGACAAGACCAAGAGCAGACAGAACACAGACGCGGCAATGAACTGGACGGTCCTCCGGCCCGTGGCCTTTTTCGAGAACCTCGTGCCGGGCTTTCTCGGCAAAGTCTTCGCGTCGAGCTGGGCCCGCAGCCTGGACAAGGGCCAGAAACTCCAGCTGGTCGCGACCAGCGACATCGGCTTCTTCGCCGCCGAGGCCTTCCTCAAGCCCGAGCGCTACGCGAACGCCAAACTCTCGCTGGCCGGCGACGAGTTGACCTACGACCAGTTCCGCGCCGTCTTTCAGCAGACCCTTGGTTATCCGCTGCCCACCACCTTCTCCTTCGTGGCGGGGCTTGTGAACTGGATGGTCAAGGACCTGGGCCTCATGTTCCGCTGGTTCCACGACGTCGGATACGGCGCCGACATCGCCGCCTTGAAGCAGATCAACCCGGGCTTGAAGGACTTTCGCACTTGGTTGGAAACGGAGAGTCAGTTTAAGAAATCGTGATCGACGCTCTTTCTCTTCCTGTGCTACTCAGAGGGGGAAGTATCGGGTTAGACAGGAATTGGTTGTCCAAGGGGACTCGGTCCAACTGTTCAATCCACCAAGAAAAGAAAAAGGTGTCTTTTTGCGAGTTGTTGGTGTCTTTATGGGGGACCTTTAGCTATTGCGTTGGTTAATCATAGTTCTCGTGTTTCAACAAAAGTCGATTGTGACAGATGTGAATAATATATGTACCTGTAGACTCGACTTGAAGTGTCTCCACTCACCTTATACTGTCCTTCCATACCGTGGGCTTGTACAGATTGGATGCCCCTTTCCACATTTTGGAGATCTCTTCTGGTTCAGCTTCCTAACTCCTTCCTTCGCCTTGAGGCGCACGCGGTTGACATCGCTTGTTCACAGGGCCTACGACAGCGACTCGGACCTGCAGCTGGCTTCCTCCATCCCGTCACCTCGCTTGCCTAACTTATACATCTCTGCTCCGCTCGACTTGGTTCGCGCAGAGCATATCCGGTGAGGAGAAGAGGGGGAAATGGAACGGGGCGTACTTTATAGCTGGCCTGGGTCCGGGCGGCATTGGCTTTCGAAAAGCATTATCAAAGATCTCTCTCTCAGCAGCAGCCTGGGACTGAGTACGGACCAGGTTCATTGGCCTGATTTACATCAAGCTCTTCATCCAGAAATCCGAGTCGTCCATCATGAGAGAATCGAATTCTCGGAGTGAGTCGGCGTCCAAGACCAGATCATCCCAATCGGTCGCCGCGTAGGTGAGAGGGTTGTACGCCGCCTCGACTGGAGCTGTGCCTGTGGCGTCGACGGCGTGCCTCTGCTGTGTGCCAGATGTGGACGACGGCGTGGAGTTGACACCGAATGCACCGATACCGACCACAACAGGTGTGTTCAGAGATTGTCTGGGGTCAGATAACGGCTGAGATACTGGTCTTAAATGGGACGTAACATCGATCTCGGTCGGTGACTGCTCAGACCGGTCGCCAAATGCACTGTAGACAGGCCCGTCGCTGTGGCTGTCACATCGTCCGTGGGCGGTGATGCACACCTGTTTCTTGTGCAGATACCAGAACCGGAGCTTGGCCAGCGCCATACCCCAGGTCTTCGCCTGCGGAAGATATCCGTCTTGGACGATCTCCGAGATCTTGCTCAACATTGCATCGAGACTGGGCAAGGCCGAGGCTTCTTCGGAGTGCATGGTCGTGGTCGCGGTCCCGGCTCTCATTCCCTCCCTAAACGGGGTCAGCTTGATGAGAGCTACCGCGGCAGACAGAGTCCACATCAGGTAGTGATTGGGCAGCGATCGAGCCAGGCGAACGTCGAGAGATATGTATGCGTCGAGTAATGCCTGACTCGAATCCCAGCAGCAGAAAAGTGCTTTGAGGTGCCCGGAGCTCAGCACGTCAACGCTCGCGTGGTAATCTTCGGATCCAGAGCCTGCGAATAGTCTCTGCATGTAGCATTTGAGCGCGATATGGTGGACACAGATATTTGCAAACTCGGCCGAGCATCTTTTCAAACCTAGGGTTGAATTAGTACCGACAGTGACAAACCATATCGAGGCGCTCCAATACTAACGGTCATCAACGAAGCTTGACTCGGAGGCGTTCCAGCTTGCGAGGCGCTCCTGAAACCTTTTCAACTGGTATTGGACGGTCGGACTGTCAAATTCTCCAATCGCCTGCTTGTCCCCTGGGTCGAAGGTGTTTGAGACATTATCCAAAATAAGTTGCAGTCGTGCGAGGCTGCAGAGCAGGGCATCCGACGTCGGCACAGAAGCCGCAGTCGACAAGACGCTGATACAAGCTTCAAGCTTGGACGAAGGAGGCATGAGAGTCTGCTGTCGGAATAATATGGCATTGCTAATGCAGGCGGAGACGCAAATATCAGCCAGAAGACGCCGCAGCTCATGCAGTCAACTTACCTTGATGCGGCATACCAGCACGCTAAATAGGCTCGAGCGGTTTCCTTCGACTCATCTGTACAAGAACCCGGCTTAGGCGCAATGTGTTCCACCATATCAAGATCACACAACATGGTAATGGCGGCAGAGACAAATTGAGTTGGCAAAGCATGGGGTGATTCGGGATCATGGGTGTAGTACTGAGAATACAAGAGGCATGCCTGGATGAGGTCCATACTTCGTCTGCCCTGTTCAAGAATCTGTCTGGCTAATTGACGTTTCAATTCCTTGACGAGCGGTGACTGGAAGGACGGCAAGATTGAGCCGCTCGCGACGCTCAGAATGGCGAGGAACAGCATCGGTTTACCTCTCCTACATTCCCGCAAGTTGTCCTCCGAGAGTAGCACAATAGGCAAAATGGGTCGCATGGAGTCGTTCCAATGGTTGAAAAGGACCTCCGCGGTTGGCATGTCGAGAAGTCCCTGGTCCACAACATCCAGATCGACCTGGGCGGAACTGTGCCTCGACTGCGACTCTGGGAAGATTTGCCACGTTGGACGTACAACGGGGACTGAAGCGTCTCTTGACCTTCCGGATGACACTGACTGTGTCGGTGTAGCCAACAGAGTGGGTTCTCCTGGCTGGTCATGACGCTGTCTGGCCGACAATGCTTGGGAAAGGGACGCAATCTTGCCCTCGAGCTCCCTGATCTTTTGCGACGGATTCGTTCGCGGTTTCGCTGGTCCGGGCCGGACACATGCGCGCGATTTCCTGAGACATGCTTCACAAGAATCCAGGTCACCAATAGAAACACATCTGGTCTTGGTCATTCGGCAAGGGACGCATGCTATCGGGGTCTTGAACCGCCTTCCAGGGCAGCGGACTTCGGATCTGGCATCTGCTGCAGAATTAGGGCCCTCATTGCTTTCAGCCTCAAGGTCCATGTTAGATTTGGGAGTGCATTTTATTTCCAAAAGAATGCATCGATCGGTGGTCGAAAGAGACAAGTCGAATTTGGACAATGAAACAGATTCTGGGATTCGCGGTGTTGCCAAGAACAGCCGTTCAGCCTCGCGCCCTTGATGCATCACGTCGCCAAAGCTACTCGGTACACGACTATGTAACTTCATTGCCATATTCGACAGCGCATTTAAGTTCCTCGACATTGTGTTGATACATGTTTATGCCACACTGACTGTGGACATATTCTCTGGCGTCACCTGCACTAAAGAAATGGAATGCGCTCCCACCGCACCTCACCAGCACTAGCTTCTGCAGACCGCCCACGGATGTGACTATTGCTCCAGGCAGTTCACTCTGTGGCATCTCCTGTCCGGTCCATATCCAACAAGTACTCCTTGATCCTCTTGAGTCCTTCTAGATCCCCTTTCTTGGTCTCCCTGTCTTCCTCGTCGACCCAGCCCTCCGTGTATCCACCCCCAAAATCAATCATGCAGACATTTTCGTTCGCGTCAATGACCATGTTGTTCGGCGAAACATCGCCCCAGACAAAATCTTTTTCGTGCAATAAATGTACCATGTCCTCGATATCACGATACCAGCGTTCACATAGCGCCATGGGGAGAGATAGCCCTTCTGGTCCGTTGACTCGATCTGCTATGGTCCCATTGTTGGGGTAGATGGCGGAGAGAATAAGACCGTTGATAAATCCCCTGTTACCATCCTTGTCATCAAGTACAATAGCTTCTATCTGCGGGCAGCGTAGTCTGTGGCTGAGATTTTCCCGAGAGAGCTTGGAGAGTATATCGATCTCTCGAATATATGGAGGACTATCGACGTAGTCCAAAACAGGCTTAAACCAGCATATGCGGTTGTTGAACATAACGAGGTTGGTATTTGAGGATGTCTGAGAAGTTTGAGCCAAAGTGATGTCTTTTGCTTCGACATGAGGGTATTCGAGCCAATGCTCAGATTTCCAGACAGTAGCCCAGGGTGGATCCGCGGTTTCCAATTTCTCTGGAGACCGGCTGATCGGGACGAGATCTCCTCCAACTACACGTAGGGTAAACGACAGAAGCGGAGGGTGAAGGACGTCTTGTAAGGTATTGAGACAAGGTGTTGATGATTCCGGGGCAAAAGTTTCGAAGGTTCTGTGTGTCAAAAATGGTCCCACAGCAAAGGCTATGACAGGATCCTCTTCGCAACCACATTCGCTCGACATCGGAGAGGCGGCCGTATCGAAACGACCACTGCAATCAGAGAAGTCGGTAGCCGCATCGTCTTCATCGGCTTCAGAAGCTTCCGCAGATTCATCATCACCGAATGAATGTTGAAGCGCATCGAGGTACTGTTGCTCGAAGGGCTGTGAACCGATTGGACTCGCTGGATCGTGGAGGTCATTTGGTCCAAATTCAATGTCGAATACCCTCCCCCGGAAGCGAGATCTGATCAAAATGTTGTCATCGTCAAGCTTGGTCATGCGGTCAATTGTGTAGTCCGGATTCTGCATTTTGTTGGAAGTGACAAATTTGGCTCGCAAAGGATTTTGGTGGGAATGAGCAGAGTATATATGTGTGTTGAAGCCTGATGGATGTGACATTTGCAGAAATGATGGATAGACGAAGAAGAAGGGAGCAACGCAGGCGCTTGTTAGTGATAACAGTATTTTACATTGGACGCGTCTCGGGCAGGCACGCAGGCACGCAGGCACCTGTGGCACCGAAACGAGGGTGTCACGGTCACGTGCACCGTGTGTTACCCAAGTATTGCCCCTGAATGCCTCGAGCTCGCTGACTAGGGATGAGTTAGACTAGCACCAAACATCACCAGCAAAACCATAATTTATCAACATCGCTCCGCTAACTCAGTCACTTATACCACCTTATTCAACCAGGTCTTGATTACCTGCTTACGCCCAGTTGCGAGTTTGACATGAGGCTGACCCATTGGAGAGTTAGACGCTCGAGGCCATATTCTGCCAAAGGTCTGGCATTTTCCAGCGAAGAACTGGGCCTGAAATGACCTGCTGACCCGCCCGTATGGGAAATGAGCTTCTTGTCGTGTAACCTGCGCACGCAAGGTGCTTTGTCTAGTATGAATTGATTGGGAAGCATGAGATCCGACAACGAATCCGACTTCAGAGGCTCCTGTGCCCCTGATCCTGGTGAGGAGAAAGGCACCCAGGCATGCGCTGGTCGCCAGTCAACACCAGATTCGTACTGTCAGGTGCACGGTTGCAGACGCCTGGTTTGGTTGATAAAATGAAGCAGGGCGTAGATGAACCCACAGCCACCATGATGGCCAACTAGCTGTTTCAATAGTGTGCTACTTTGTCTCCTGACAGTCGCCGGCCTGGAGAGTAGCTCTTCCTGCAGATATAGTTCTGACCCTGTTGTAGATAAATTAGTTCCTCTAAGGTTCTATCAAACCTCAAACACAGCATACCTTTTTCTGCACTTTGTGTGCCTCATGTGTAACACGCACGAAACGTTCTTGCCCTTCAACAAACCACTCATCCCATCAGCATGCCGCCGTGCACTTGCAAGCAGTGGAAAGTTCAATATGCCCAATGCGGCCACACAACACAGCATCCGCATCACAAAACGAGATATTGTCAAGCTGCTCGGAGAAGACAGCAAGCAACCGGCGCCCGGAGGCCATCCCTCTGTCCTGGTGGACCGGCAGAGCGCAGCATACGCGCCGAACTTGGTTGGTGCCATGGCAACTTGTGTCGGGAGAGAGCAAGACAGGAAGAATATCGAGCTTTGGTGCGTGCTAGGAACAATTGCTGGGAGTGTTGCAGGTGCAGAGAGAGGGGCGGTCGCAATCTTTTCTGCATGAACTGTCGACACGACATCTGCCGGGACTGCCGGGCGGCAACGCCGACACCTAGTATACCATCCACTCGAGGTTCACGAGCTTCGTAACATCACCCGTTCACGCTCTGGACCAGGACGTTGTACTCCCGGAAGCTACTGTCATCAAATCGAACCCGACACAACGCATGGTTGCTCCCGAATCCGGTCCTGAAGCCCTGCACTTTATAGGCTAGCTTCCATCATTCCTTCTCCTTCCTGTCAAGGGCGTACGCTTTGTTGTGATCCTTCACTAAATCTATGTTGAGAGAGAAGATGTTGCTGCTGATCAAAGAGTTCTGGTTGGACCTGGGCTCGACGAAGGCATCGTTCAGGGCCACGTGGTCGTTCAAAAACGACGCTCGAAAGTCGCTGACGCCTATGTGGGAGCCGGTGCTTGAGGATATCGAACTGTTTGGCCAAATGTGAAGAGCTGGGAGTCGAATCTGGCAGGAAAAAGAGGGAAAGATCAGCTTAAGTTGCCATTATCATCAACGTGCAAGGCCATACCGTTGAGAGGTACCATATATTTCTAACCACAATCGTTCACGTAATTAATCAAAATCCTTCCAAAGTCTCCCCGAAGTCTCTCGCCCTCATAATTGTTGATCCCACCCCACATAGCTTCCGCATCGATGTGTGCTTCGTCCGCAAGCTGTGAATGTATACCTGCTCTGCAATACCAAAGCGCGGACTCAACTGGTTTCGGATCAGTGTCGAGTCGAGTTCCTGCACCAGCTGCCTTGGCTTATTCGAGAAATTCGTAGTTTCTCTGAGAACACTGAAATCTAACTTGGGACATTCCAGCACCACTATTGGATTCAAATGGCTCATCCTGTAGTCTCTCACTTCATGGAAAGTTGGTTGAATAAGGCATATAGGGTCCAGACGGGGTCCCGCCAGGGGCAGTACCCGCACACAATAGAGTCCGAGGGCCATGGCCATCAAGAACAGCCGTGGCCTCTTTGAAAAGGCAGGGCTTTTGAAGTACTCTTTGCAGGGTTCGAAGCAGTCATCTTCTGGCAAGATGGAACACATCCCATCTGAAACCGACTCGATGATTTGTTCTGATGTCTCAAGGTGCACCTTTCACCAGCATTTGCCTGCGTCTTCATGACCTCGGCAATGAAACTGACCACTTCGAAATGCAGGAGCACCGACGTTGTTTAAAAATGACCAAGTTGTGCAGTTGTTGAGGTGGGTCAAGGTCAGCCTTAGTACTGCCTTATACAATGCTCGACATATTGAGCAATCCAGGTGAACTTATCCTTCGCAGCAACTCCAATGCCAGAAGGGTATGAAGGTGGGCGCTAGCGCTTTCGCAAGATGCACGTCGTCTATATTCACTCATTGTCGACGAATGAGTTGGCTAGCCTGCCAAAATAAGGTACTTCGAAATGGTCCAGTGTCTCGACATCTCGGTAAGCATGGAGCGAGAGAAAGCCGATCAAAATCAGGTCGATTGCGAACAGCATCCAGGAGAGCACCTTTGACCAGGACAAGATCAAGTGAAGGAAGAATATAGCTGAGAAGAGCATGCTAGATTGCCACGCATGAAACCGGACATAGTCGCTCTTGTGCTCGAACAGGAGAAGAAAAACACCCCCGGCCGGTGGAAGGACCAGGTATGCCAACATTGCTTCATAATCCACTCTTAAAGGCAGGCTTGTCTCGAAAGCTTCTAAGCTCTGGTCCCTATGTTCCCCGGTAAACGACGGCCTAGGCGGGAGATCATTCGCGAATGCACTGGGAGGAAGCAATGGTGGCAGTGATTGCGTACCAGCGCTGGCACGGGTGATGGGCTGGATGGGTCTGTTCGGGGGAGGCGACCGAACGCGAGGCGAATCGATCGAAGTGCGAGGGGGAGGTGATAGAGCACGTTCTCTATATACTTTTGATTAACAACTTTGTCCGCCCATCTTGATCTCCAATTCATGTCGTGGCAGCAACTCACATTTCTGGCGAAGCATCCTGGTACGGTGCGAAATTCATTGTTTACTTTCTCCGCAGTTGGTCGTGTCTCCAGACGCGGACTGGACTGTGAGAAGGACGAGTGACAAGTTGTCTTGTGCTTGTTGTAAAACGAAGTGGTTCCGTAGAAGATCTTCCTCTAAACGGTATGGAGAACTAGAATTGGCCCAACAATGAACCTTGTCTGTTGCGCAGACCAGGTTGCTTCATTCACATCTCAAACCATAATAAATTGGGAGAATCAAGCTGATGCTTCTTTCGGCGACCGCCTTGGGGGTCTTGTGCTCTCGTCCCCTTGCTGCTTTTAGACCGCTCTACAACGACGACCTCCCCTTCACATTTCGTGCTTTGTCTCCGGTTACTCACCGCTCGCCTGGTAAAATTATGACTTGAGATGATGATACCTAGCTAGGTATTTGCCTGCCCATGCTTGATTGGTACATCTCCTTCCGGCTTGTTGTTGTACATACTTGCAGCACTGCACTTTTGGAGGCAAGGTTTGACTCAGGCTACATACTTGAATACAACACACCAGTGTGGCCAGGAGCACGGATTTGGTCGATAGCTCAGTCTTCGACTTTGGGGTTCCTGAGACTTGCATTCTACATCTGAACTAGCTGCGCAGAGGCTCCTCCTGTCAGGCACTGAAATGTGCCTTTGACTCCAGCAGAAAGAACCCATACCTGACAACTTGGTATCGCCGCGACGAATTTGCTTGCATGCTGTGGTCTCTGCCGCCATCAGCTCCGTAGGTGTGCTTCTTCCCAGGCACATCTGACCTTTCTCCCAGTAATTACGCCCCATCAGTACCACGACCGCCCACAGTATACTGAACAAATATGATCCCTCCCCGACTCGCGGTGTATCTCGGCGAAAGTGGGCAAAACACTGGTCGACGTGACCACCGTTTTCGATCTCGTCAATAGCTGCAAATATGGGAGCCAGACTGCTTTAGCGCACTTCAACTTCGCTCCCCTGGCGGACTCTGAAGGGTGGGACTAGATGAACTCCCACCTACCTCGCGCGCATCGTGGCGGACAGACACCAGAACAATCTATTCTACGGGTGAGCCGTGAGAAATAGTCTCGTATGCTGGGAGGCTCCCGTTACCGAATCCCCAGGGTCTGTCTTTTGATTTCCAGGGGTGCCAAGGGTCCTGACGAGCTTGCGTTCGTCCCTGGCATCTGTTGGGTACAACAAAACCCCGTCGTGAGCCCGAGCGGCAAAGATGAAACAAGGCAATCCATCAACGGAAGCCGCAGATTTCAGCCACGGCCTCTCGAGGCCCTGCCCGTTGTCCCTCTACCAATTCCTGAGCTGGCTCTTCTAGCGGAGGCTGTGCCTCGCCTTATACCGCTGGTATTAGACCCTCCTACCTGTACGTAAGCCGAGGACTGTGCGGTTGCACCACCTCTTCCGGCAGCACCGATCCTGCCCGGACCTCGCGCAGTCCCTCTTGTGGGTTTGGTGGCTGTCTCAACTTTATGTCGCTCTTCCTCTTGAGCCTTTTTGGCTTCTGCCTTCTTTCTCTCCTCCTCAGCTTCTCGTCGATCAGCAGCGCGCTGTTTCTCCAGGGCTTCCTCTTCAATATCCGCGATATCTTGACTGGCGCCTTGCCATGAAGGGTCAAGAATCAGGCGTTGGTTATGCTCTGTTTGGGATAGAATTTTGGTCCATGTATTCA